GTCTGGGGGGGGGGTACGCTCATGTAGTTAAAAACCAGATCGTTTCATCTTATTTTGCAAGATGAAAACCTTTCTCCTAATATAACCTTCATGACTCCTACCAGGTTCTCCACTATGGAAATACTCATAGATACGTCTCTAGCTAGGCCTACGCCCATGGGCGTCGATCGATGGGGACAGGGGGGGGGACGTGGGACACGTCCCCCCACTTTTCAAAGTAGGTGGGACATCATACCGATTGTCCCCGCCCCCCACTTTTAACGAATCTTCTATAATTAAAACCCCACTTTTAAAAGCGAATGGAAAGAATAACAATTACGCATGAATCATGAATTTTGTCTGTTCACCTTTTTTCCAAGTGCGGTACCGGTACGTATTTTCCGGACCATAACCGAGTGTAAAAACGCAATTGTTATACATTTCGTAACCATCTCAGAAACCACTAGCTTGATTTTATGGGTACAGCGGTTATAGAGGCTAAATTTATTGTGAAAACAATGTACTGAACGTTGTACAAATTGGTGGCGTGTATACTTAGTAGGCCAATACTTTTACAAACTCAAAAGTGCACAATTTCTACTATAAACGACTTTTGAATATTATTATGACCCGTACGTATATACTAGTGTTTAATATTATCTACATACATAGGATTAGTGTTTTTCTTAATTTCAAAAAATTATAGTTAGTCAATTGAATTTTATATAGCCATTATTAAACAATAATTGTACAGTCTTTGACACGGACATGTCTATCTATTTCGAATTAGTGATACCAACAGTTTAGTTTACAAACTCCGGTGTTACGTTGACGCAATCGCGTCATAATAATCAGTGGCGGATTTAAGTGGTGCCGAGCCGACCCTAAATTTTTCAAAATTATTTAAAAAAAAATGGAAAAACAAAGGAAAATTATAATTATAATTTAGGTCTGAGAGTGCCATTTTCGGCAATCTGGGTGTCATAATCATAAATTTTCTTTCCTCAGCCCCAACCATGGTGGGGCTGAGGAGTGGCGTATCCAAGGGGGGATACGCCACTGAAAATGAGTACGAGGCGGTACTCATTTTCACAAAGGAATACACACAACTGGTTAGCTAACAATAGGCAAATGTTACATGAACACCTGGAAAGGAAGGTGCAATCACGTTCTGTTGCCAAGCAAACGTCTGTATTGTAGCGTGGGGGGGGGGCTAGCCTACTGATGTACTGTGTAGCGGGGGACGATGAGGCATAATAAGACTAGGCCTAGGCCTAAGTAGACAGTGTAATTATATGTGATAGAAAGTACACTTTCTAAAGAAATAAATTAAAATAAGAAAAAAAAAAAAAACTAAGAATAATTCTGTTGCAGACGTACCTTGTTTAAGTATTTTAACAATGTGGCTTTTGTAGCCTAGCAAGGAATGGCATCCATGTGCAAATGAATGTGCAATCAATCAAAAAAGCACGCCAGGAAAAGGTGACGTAATCCAGAGGTGACAGAACTAGGTGGTGCTGTGTTATGGAGAGTAATGTGTGACCGGAAATGGTCTGCAGGCAGTTGGTTGTTACCATGCGCCAGTGATGTTGGAGTATTATGTATATAGTACAGCAATATGAAACTATTATGTAGACCTAATGAATGAATAAAGTTCGGAGTTTGTCGGGTAGTGAAATGATTATTTTACATTTTAAGTGCTCCCTAAATTCATATATATATGATCATAGGTGTAAGCTAAATTACAGTGATTAATTTAATTAGCGAAGATATGGAGACAATTATTTCGAATCCCTCTTTCCAAGAGGGGATGCAAATGCTTTGTGAAAATGAGTACGCCGCGGTACTCATTTTCACAAAGAAACACACACAACTGGTTAGCTAACAATTATGTCAATGTTACTTGAACACCTGGGAAGGAAGGTGCAATCACGTTGTTACCTAGCAAAGGTCTGTACTGTATGGGGGAGGGGCTGCTGATGTACTGTGTAGCGGGGGACGATGAGGCATACGACTAGTCCTATAGGCCAAACTAAGACAGTGGAATTATATGTGATAGAGAGTACACTTTCGGAAGAAATAAATTAAAATAAGAAAAAAAAAATAACTATATAAGAATAATTCAGTTGCAGAGGTACCTTATTTAAGTATTATACAATGCTAACAATGCGGCTCTTGTAGCCCTGGCTTGGGCAAGGCATCCATGTGCAAAGCAGTGGTGTTTGTTTATCCATGAAAAAAGCACGCCGGGAAAGTTTGCCTTACCAGGAAAAGGTGACGTAATCTAGCTTATGACGTATGCATGCTAACTAATGTGAGTGTGACGTCACCAAAAAATGAATATTTTCTATTATAACCAAAATATTAATAACTACAAAGTTTCTAGGCGTAAATTCCCTTAATACGAATGAAGGGTTGCACAATCTCCTTGCCATACAAATTACAGCTCCTACTGACGTCTCAGTCGAGGAATGAAAAATAAAGCCTTTGGCCGTACGCCCAAGCCTTAATTGGGGACCAGAAGGCAAAGCTCCCGGAAGGTCTGGCGCCTATAGCCTTTCAAATGATTTTAGCTGAGACAAAACACGTGTATAGTTGTCTCAGATTTTAGGCATAAAGAGAAATACGGGTAGCTGAAGTTTTTCTCGCAAATCTGACTACGAAACCATATCCAAATTTCACGTTCCACTTTTGACCCTCAGTCGTGCTTCGCACTCGCCGATGAGGGCGGCGTTCCGGGAACCATGCGTCTAGCTTATGTATAACTATTGTCAGTGACAACAGTTTTCTATTATTACCAAAATATTAATAACAGTTTTATTATTATTATTATTATTATTATTATTATTATTATTATTATTATTATTATTATTATTATTATTATTATTAGTCATTATTTGTAATTAAAAAAAACAATGAGTGGGTGACTGTAATAAATTGAGTGGATAGGCTCTGGTACGTTGCTAAATTATTTTCAAATATTGAGTGGATAAGCTCTGTTACAATAAACTACAAGGATGTTGTAGCGGACCAATATCAAAGTCAGGCCCTACATACATGCAAATGTAAAATCATTATTTTACCATATTCCGACAAGCGTCCCCATCCTGCTGCATAACACAATGTACCTGGTCGATATTCTAAGCTTTCATAGCAAAGTGGCTGAACAAATTGATTAAATTGCACCGGTGAATCGAGTCTTAGTAATGCAATATCATTATCATAACTAACGTCATCATACTCTGGATGGATAACAGGCTCAGCAATAAGGACACGTTCACGAAACACAGAATTATCGTCCTGAGTTGTTATTCCTGCAGTAATACTAATTTCTGTCAAAGAATCGCTGGAGAAAGAAAAAAAAAATATAGTCATGTTAAGTAACTGATACGATATTTTGCATACACTTTAGATGAATCAAGAGTTATTGCAATTTTTTTTTGTAATTTATCACTTAATTGTTGTAGTTGTATATCATCATCCCAAAAATGTTAAATATTTCACTCTTTTTCACAAAATAATACATCTTTTACAGATGTACATGACGTTTTATTTCAACATCGCATAACTACCTGGACTCACAGGGGTTACAGCAAATCAAACCTGAACTTTATTCCTTCGAATAACGTTATCGACACGGTGATAATAATGTTACTAATATTTTAGGGCAGACAAAATGTGAACAAATGGCTTACACGCAGTGAGCAGCTGTTATGGCCCACTTCTCGCTGATTAAAGATGCACCACAGTAAAAACTGCCATAGATCTCAAACGAAAGCATCCAAGGCCATTCTCCTGGATATGAATCTTCCCCACCGACAATGCGGGAACTCCTTACTTGAGTTTGTTGCATTCCACATACAGTAACAGATGCTAGAATAATTATTATCATTATCAAAAACACAGGTTTAAATATTCTGAATAAATTACAAGCTAATTCAAACAGAATACACTATACACCAAACATCGCCACCAACGTTTTACAGCTTTTCACTTGGGGGAGGGGGGGGGGGCGGAATCCAGCCAGAGGCTGCTAAACTTCTTCGAAAATTTATTTTTTTCCAGAAAGATATTCTCTACAACCAAAGATACTCCTGGTTTTATGCGCCCCTATTTTCTTGTTTTTTGCATAAATTATTGCTTTAAAATGTATAGTGTTATTAGTCTTATTATTGCAAGGTTGAGCGAGTCGAATGGCCAAACAGTTAAGGCAGGGGCACTGCAACCATAGCCAACAATAATAGCCCGGGTTCGCGGCCGCTTCGCTCCCAGTTCCGATGACGGAACAAGTCTTCTCGGATAAGAACAATAAACCGTAGGCCCAGTGTACACAAATGCTTATGTGCACTTTAAAGAACCCAGTACATCTTTTGAAATGAGCAGGGGGTTACTCCGGGGTACTGGCCCATACGGCCCCTGTTGTCTTGTGATGGGATTGCCACTTTGAAGAGTGATTTAGTTCATTGTTTGGCATATCATTGGCGTGCCTAAAGCTGAACAAATAAAAAAAAGTAGGTGGCTGAGCGATTAAGGCGCAACGTACACCATACTGCACGCTCGTCTACGGTTTGGTGGTGGAACAAGCAGCGTGACCACTCACAATTTTTGACATACCCAATGACTAGGTCGAAATTACCCACGATTCAGCAAAAATTGCCCAAAATTACCCAAGCTTCCTGAAAATGCATTAAAATTTGAAAAATACTTATTTTTCGCATGTATAGTTTCCCTTTTAGTTCAATATATAAACCATTTTTTATTGTAATTGTTTGTGTTAATTATTAAAATTAATATTCATGAGGCAATAATGCGCCCTCAGTCGGCCAGTGTTGTCAGTGTGGACACAGAGTATTATTTTGGTGTAGATCAGTGATCAAGTTTTATTATGTAATGCATTAATTAGGTATTATCAATAGCAACGCAAATCACAAATAAACAATTCTGAACCCATGTTTATAGCAACTAACAATCAATTAACAATGTTATGTGCACTTCGTTGAGTTTTGGTTATTTGAATGGACTGAAATATACTTTGTTACTTCTTAATTCTTCCTTTATGACAAAAATATTTAATTTTCTTAGTAAAAATAAAATACCCATGGATTTGAACGGAATACCCAAGAACCCAAGACCAAGTCAAAATACCCAAGATCTTGGGTAAATACCCAAGCAGTGGTCACGCTGGAACAAGTCTTTTTGGATAAGAACTATAAACCGTAGGCCCAATTTACACAACTTGGCCCATGCGCTCTTTAAAGAACTCTGTATATCTTTCGAGACGAGTAGAGGGTTAACCCAGCGTACTAATCCATACAGTCCCTATTTTGGATAGACGACAGCTGGTACCGGTATACCGGGCAGCTCAGACACGAAGATATCCTTAGGGAGAAGCAATTAGTTACTGTAAGTCCTTGTCCACACCTTTGGCGCTTTGAGACAGTTTCGGTATGAAGGATATAAATTCAACTACATTACATTGAATTCTATTGTTACACTTTCACTAGGCATATTAATCTTAGTCTTATTATCATCATTAAAATCATTTATTTTATAATTTCCATAGTATTTTATAATGATTTTTTATTATCATTATCACTTCAGTTATTCCTTCTGGAAGAAATGATGAAAGATACAATGATAGGCCTACTTAAAAAAACGTGCATTGTCCCGACAAACATTTTGCAAGAAAGAGTACTGCTGAGTGTTATAAATATACTTACAATTGTAGCAACCCAACTCATCTGACCAGTCACCACAATTGTTAATTCCATCACAAATGCTTGTATTACTTAAACACACGCCATTTGGGCATCTAGTCCCATTACAGCCTGGAAGTACAAAAATATGTAGGAGGCTTACATACATAAAATATAAAGAGAGGCCGCTGTACTAGGTCAGTTTAGGTG